AAATTTAATAAACATTTTCTGATTTTAATAAATATTTTAAAAAATACTAACTAGTTAATATTTGATTACTTGAAAAATATTTTATGTTTTATATTATAAAGTAAWTAATTTATTCTTTTGTTTTTATATTTTGTTAATTCTTTTTTATAAATATTTTGTTTGAAATATTAAATAGAAATTATTAATGGAAATATTATTAATGTACATTAGTCGACATCCTATCGACATAATAGGAAAAACTGCGTTTCTTTTGGTTATTTGGACCAATTTGGTCGACATTTACGAAATATAGGAAATGTTGACTGAAATAATGTAATTTTTATATTACCATCCATTTTCATGTCGGTGAGCCTCAACATTGACATATGTCGGGCGACATTAGCGACATTTGGCGACATTTGAAACCATGCTCTCTCTAGAGGTCATCTCCACAACCATTTCCCTAACAACACTATTCTTTTGAATCATATTCCCTATACCCAAATCACCCTCCTCCTTACTCCAACAAACTATCTCGTACGTGGTTAGATGGTCTTTTTTACCTTCCCCCTCTCAAAGAAACTCCATTATTTTCTCTAGGTTCTTGGCTTTCCTAGGCAGGATCCTAAAGACAAAGGAAAATAAATCAGTAAATTGGCAAGTGTGGCTCATATCAAAGTGATTCTACCTCCCAAAGAGATATGATTCTTTTTCCATATCTCTAATCTGTAGTTTTTTTCATTTTAATGAAAAATTATTTTTATTATAAAAAATCTCTTTTCAAAATTTTCTATAATTAGCTTGCAGAATCTATTCCCCTTAGAATTAGCACCTAGGCGAAGGCCTAAGTAAGTGAAAGGCCAAGTAGAGGTGGAGCACTCTAGACACTTTGCTACAGTCTCAGCATCTGGAACCTCTCTATTGACACCTGCTATGCAGCTCTTTTCAAGATTGATTTTCAAAATAGAGATCCTTTCAAACTTTTTTTTTTTCAACTCTTTTAAGTTCCTTACCTTCCTCATATCACCCTCTTCCCTCTTCACAATATATATATATATATATAATGCCATTTGCAAATTGGAGATGGTTAACTGGAATACTGTTTCACTCTTGTAACAATATGTAAAGGAAAGGTGAGGGACACCTTGCCTTAAAACTCTGCACAATCACTCTCCAAATCCACAAATTTACAACACCTCTACAGTCAAATCCTCCAAATCATAGCTTCTTTAGGTCCAATTTGCACACAAAACCATTTAGCCTACATCTCCTTATCTCTTCCACACAGTCATTGGCTATTAGAATTTTATTTGTCTCCCTTGTATATAAGCCCCTTGAGATTTGACTTATGATAGAGGAAGTACTGCTTTAGTCCTGAGTGAAAGAACCTTAACTACAATTTTTTAGTTACTAGTCACCAAACTAACTATGGATCTAACGACCTTTGGTGACTAGCATCAATTTTAGGGAGTAGGGCTAAAAAAGTGGCATTGGCTACACTAATCTACAAACTCTTCAAACTCTTCAAACACCTTATATAATTCATTTTTCAACACTTCTCAACAATCCTAATAAAAACCCATTGTAAACCCATTCGGACTTGGGGCGTTAGATCTATCCATAGAGAACATTGGTCGTCTTATCTCCTTTTTTTCAAAGTTCCTCTTCAATCACCTTACTTATACATCACTTAAACTTGGCCAATCAATCTGTTCAACCTTAAATCTATCATTCAATGGTCTGTAAATGGATATAAATCCACAAAGTTCCTGACAAGATATCACTTCCCCATCTATCTCCAACTTGGCCATAGAATCTATTCTCCTTCCATTAGCCAAATCATGGAAAAATTTAGTATCCCTATCACCTTAATCCACTTATGTCTTGATTTCTGTGTCCAGCAAATCTCCTCTCTATGTAGAACTTCTTTCAATTCCTGATGGATTTGTATCTACTAACCTTGAGTTATCTATAGGACATTCAATTCAAGATCATTAACCAATGTGGTCCCTGCTATGCTGGGTCTCGGGAGGAGTGATCATATATTGACCTAACCTTCAGAGTTTTCTTTCACAAAGTTGCAACCCCACTATTGGTCAAGTTTAAATGGTTCTCAAGTTCCTTTTAACTTGGTTTGGGGTTTTGTCTTTTTTTTTTTTTAACTAGTTTAGTTGGTTGTTGTTGTTATTATTTTCAGTTGTTGGGTCATTTGTATTGGTTACTGTTGTCTGAGAGAATAGGAGCATGATTATATAGTATAGCTGTTTCAGACAATATTGAGGAGAATATCCGGTCACTTTTGATGATATTCAATAGTTTAGGATCTAGTCCAAAAATTCTCAAAGCCCAAAAGTTGTTTGCAAAGTTTAAATGTTGTCAGGCCCCAGCAAAGATGTTACTTTAAAGCTTTATCATGGACTCTCTCTCTCTCTCTCTCTCTCTGCTTCATCTTCTGCAAGATCATCAATAGTTATTGGATTGCAACTTGGTATCAGTGCAGATATCACCATGATAATGATGACATCAGCATCTATGCTGACACCCAATCTTACATAACTAGATCTTTCTTTAGCTTGACAGTGGAAGATTTTAGGTATTGAAATATCATTTTTTTTCAGTTCTTTGGTGTAGAGATTGTTTTTATGAAGAATTTGCAAAACATAAAGTTTTGATGTTTCCGTTGATGCTGACTTTTTGGGGTTGTTATGGTACTCAAGGCTGACAATGTTTGAGTTGTACAGCTTTCTGGGATCCCCGGAATTAGTTTTGTTTGGTTTGGGTGAGATTTGAGCTTCCAGCAGTGGTTTCTCTACATCATATTTACCACCCAATTTATTTGACTCTAAACATGGCCGTTTTCCCTATCTAAATGTTGGTAAATATAATCTGGACAAATCTGCTGATGGTCTGTGATCTTGCGTATTTTTCTTCTATGCATTGGATTGCTGCATGTCTGATCTCTGAAGGATATTCTTGTATGATGTCTTATTGATCATTTATTTCCATCATCTGGTGTTTTCTGGAATTGTGAATTGTGATATGCCTTGTTTAAGTATTTGAAATAGTAGTACAACATTTCTGAGGTGTTCTAGAAGTCTGTACATGTTCCTAGATTGTTAGAGTGTAGGCGTTGATTTCAAAAATGTTTCAGAGGGGACATGTGTAATGTCTGGTGCAGGATCATATTTGGGTTATTTATCACCACTGTGAAGCTTAATGGAAGTAATGACATACTATATAAAGTCAGCTTGTCTTTATGTTAACATCAGATGTAAGACATAGGACATCAATGGTAAAATAAAAGAACCCAATGAGGATGACCCCAAGTATGAGGAGTGGGGCTCAGAATGTCATGGTGGTGTCTTAGATTTGCATTCCATGCTTCCCCTCATAAGCAGGAGGTTCTTATTTCTTAGGATGGCAAAGGAGATATTGAATGCAGCAACCAATCTTAGGTTAGTGAATTTAAACTGTATCTTTTTTTTTTTTCCTTTTTTCCCTCTATTTTTGGTTTTAACACAATACACATTACAGGGTGATTAACTGATTAAGGGGTGGGGACAGAGAAAGGTGCATATGAGGTCTACTGACCTTACCACGGAGAGCCTGCAGTTATGACAGGTTTGATCCCACACTTCCACTGTAAGAGAGATGCAAGTGACCATCTCAGCTACTGGGTCATTGTAAAAGGGTCCAAAAAAACTTCTTAGAAGACCAATTTTTGATTTTTTGTCAATAAAATGGGTTTAGGACATACTATGACAGCAATGGGAAAGTAATGTGTTCTCTATGATAGTGCATCAACTAATGTTTATAACGGTGTTCTTCGCTTACTCGTTTTCCCTTCTAATTCTTATAAGAAAACAGAGCATCATCTCTCTTTTCATGGCAAATCAATGGCTCTTCCTCTTCATTACTTTTGTTTTTCTTTTTTTTTTTTTTTTTTTAAATCACTCCTCCAAGTCTTATTATTAGCTCAATGGTTTCTCCCCTTCATTTTTCCTCTTCTCTTTTCTCTACAATTACCACCTATATACCTTTTTTCTCTGCATCTCTGTAGTATTCATACGGGATCATTGAATTACCTAACGCATAAATATTCTATTTGTATTTTCTCTACCATTGATTGAATTTTAATTGGATCTTTGTTTGAGTTGCTGCGCTTCAGAATTCATTTGGATTTGATGGATGGAAATGTTCTGGGGTTTCTTTTTCTTCTCTTATTTGATACTTCCGTTCTCCTTGGTACTTATAATTTCTTGGAGTGGCATATCAACAATGCAGAAGCATACATTTGATTGTGTTACGTGTCAAATATAACAAATCTCATGGTTTCATTTCCAGGGATCTGGACAATGCATGTTTACTTGAACCTGGGCCATTGAATGAACACTGCATGGAAATACTCTTTCGGACAAATTTAGCCACAGCATTGAACCTTATCCTAGGAAGATTTGAGCTGTGGCCAATGCATCTCTGATGCCCATAAGTTTTCTGAAGGTGGTATTCAGACCTTTGTGCAAATGAATTGAACCGCACAATGGAGTTCTGCATTAGAAGTCCGTACTTAGAAACATCTGATTCCTCATTGGCAAAGGAGGATGGGCACTTGCTGACCAGTGATTAATCATTCAGGTAACATAGTTGCAGAATATTACTAGTGATTTTTTCCTTGGTCTTTTTTGTAAGGAAATCAGTTCCATGGCACCTTGCCTTTTTTTTTTATCCTTCTCATCTTCCATGGTGGTTTGTGGAAGTGCGGGCAGGCGTTGTCTTTTTTTTTTTTCTTTTTACTGCACTGTTTTTTTTTTTTTTGGCTCGGAGGGTATGTCTTGGTCATATTTTGTCGGTATCAGAGTTCCTATTTCTGTCGTTATTGGATTTGTGTTGATAGAAAAAAAAAAAAAAAAAACATTTTATCATTGTATTTTGATCTTTGAAATGTCATGTCCTTTGTTGTCTAATAAAAACAGAAGCATTGTCAATATCTGGCAATTATTTTCAATTTCTGAATTTTCCACCAAGAGAAGTTGACATCATTCGATGGAATGTGATTCATTTTCATATTAAATACAATTTTTCTTTTTCAATTTCAAGGAGATCATCCAAATTTCAGAAGTAGGAGAAATTTCTGATAGCAAAGGAGTACTTGAAAATATTTAACAGATAATTAATAGCTAGATGTCGGTCAAGGCTATCAACGGATCGGATCTGGACTGGAGCAATAAGAAAGCATCCAGACTTGGATCGCAGGTGTTACATGATTTTTTAGTGACAGACCCAGCATCGACCTTAAAATGGGCTTTGTTGAGTATGATCCGAAAAGGCCTAATTATAACTTAGGCCTCCAGCATAATTTCCTTGTTCTCTTTCTTCAAATTGTCTCACATATCCCCTATTAAATGATAATTTCAGACATTTTAAATGAAAATATACAGTTAAACCATGGATAACAATTGGGACACCAAAAGTAGATCCTATTTGGATACTCTGTTGTATGATTAGTCCAAAGGGGGACCAAGTGTCAGGGGTCAGTGCTGGAAAGGAAATCATTTGTAGACCAAGACTGTGTTGCTATATGTGGGGAGGGCGCGTGGAAAGGAAATCAAGCGTGAGGGGCCAAACATATATCATCTCGAGTTATCTAAGATGAGTTAGGATATGCCGAGTGTGATTACAATACATTGCTGGTGAAGTTCACCCAATTACGCATCGGGAACATCGGTTATACTATACATTACCAATATTGGGTTTTCAATCATAGTTTTTAAGGCGACAAGGTGAGGCTAGAAGACATGGGGGGCGGGGGGGTGGTGCCTTGTCGCTTGGTCACCTAGGTGATTGATTTTTTTTATGTTAAAAACATAGATCCTAGGGTAGTTCCATAATTACCATAATTATATTGTTTTAATAATTATTCATAATTTTTATAAGAAAAATATACAGTTCATATTAAAGTATAGAAAATCAACATATTCATGAAAAGAAAAAAGAAAGAAAATAAAATTCAAAATATATAGGGGCTGAAGAAGAAGAAGAAGAAGAAGAAGAAGAAGAAGAAGAAGATGATGATGATGATGATGATGATGTGTTGATTAAATAAAATTTTAAGTTCTTATTTGTTCAGGTTTTTAAGTCTTTGAGGATTCAATACAACATTTAGCAATATTTGTGTTGATTAAACTCTAGTAAATAAAAATAATAAAAAGAAATTAGTATATAAACACACAAAATGATTATTTTAGTTTAATAATGTCTATTTTATAATTATAAGCTCAAAAAAGAATGAACAAAAAGTATTTTATAATAGAAAGTTAAAAACTGCTTGGCAATTAGGCGAGGTGAGCCTCAAAGGGTGCCTTATTGCCTAGGTGTCGCCTTGACAACTATGTTTCCAATATGCGGCTAGGTGAATGTTGCCAACAAATCCGGATTCATCTAGAATTTGATGTGACTATGTGCAATGAATCCAAATTCTTTGTATGAAATTAACTTTAAAACACATGTCAAACGTCTGACCCCACTTTGTTGGTTGGTAATGTCTCCTTCTGGTTATGTAATGAACTTGGGATTGAATCTTGCCTACACTTGGGTTTAGGGTTTAGGGGATGGGCTTGGGCTATCCCTGTTGTGTAACACTTGAGTACCCTGAATTTTCAAAAGTAGACACTTATGTCCATCTGTTAGTATTCCGTCAATTAAATATTACATAATGCCAAAAATACCATTTTCATGTATTTTTGAGGTCATTCTCAAGTAACCAAACGTCTCCCCATGATGACATTCTCACATAGACAACAAATAACATATTCAAAATTTCCAACAATGGCATTCTGTGGGGATGATTTTACTCCATAGAATGATCTCAAAAATACATGATAAGGATATTTTTGATATTATATAATGTTTAATTGATAGAATACTAATGGATGCACCCGTGTCTATTTTTGAGAGTTCAGGATATACAAGTGTTGCAATTGAAAGTTCAGGGTACCTATTTGTCACTGCCCCTAAAGTATAGAATACCTATATTAAGGTTTTAAAAACCAATCCAGAAATGGAACCAATCTAGCTACTGGTTTTCAGGTTAGCGGTTTGACTGTTTGGGTCGAACGGTTCGGACGGTTTGCATTAGGGCAAATAGTTATATACTTATATATGAGAAAGGAGAACTGGAGAAGAGAGTCAAGAGAATGTTGTCGGCTGAGAAAGAAGAAAAGAAGGAAAGAAAAAAAGGAGAATGGAAAAAAGGAAAAGGAGAGAAAAGAAAGGAAGGAAAGAGTGAAAGAAGAGGGAAGGAGGGAAGAAGAAGGAAGAGGAGGAGAATAATTTGATGCTCATTGGCGACAATAATGGTGAATGTGACGGCGAGGCGGCGGTAATGGGCACAGATGACAGATCTGAGATATGAGTTCTCGAATCTCAGATCTAAGATTGATTTCTCTTCAACTTCTTCTTCTTCTTCTTCTGTGTGTGTGTGTGTGCTGTATCTCAAATCTGAGTTCATGTCTCAAACTCTCAGCTTCTCCCCTCTCTGCAATTTTCTTAAATCGTGAGTCACTGTTCGGGTCAAACGAGTTGACAGTTCAACCGCTCAAGTCAACAGTTTTTGACCCAAGAACGAACTAGAGGTGAAACGGAACCGATTGCTTGAACGATTTCCAGGTCAAAAGGTCCAACCGTCTAGATCAACCACGGTTCAAAAACATTGACCTATATTACCTATATATAATTTACCCACACACCCCCTAAAAAAATAACGAAACACGACCTATATTACCACGTCTCAAAAGGTGCAGTAGATGATGGCCTTTTCTTCTTTCACGTTTCCATTTCGTTTCTGAGACCAAGGAATTGGATATTAATTTCACAAGCATTCCGCATTCTGAGCAGCTCGAAATTCATAGCGACGTTAAATTGGAGATAACGAATCAAAGATCAAATCCATGATTGGGAAGGTAAGCTTTCTATCAGATATCAACTGGTCTTTGCTTTAATACAGGATTTTTTTTTTCTTTTTTCATTTAGCCTAGTTATGAATTCGGATGCGTAGTTGAGCTTTAATTGTCGAGTTACATGAATTATTATTATATGACAACTTGACAAGGCATCACTGTTCTATCTCTGTGAAAGTTTAACAAGTCCAAAGTATGTAGTTTCATGGTTCTACACATTTAGAATACAATGAATGTATGATGGACAACAAAGACAAATTCCTCTTCATCGTAAGTCGTAACAAATATGACCTCAGAAGTCAGAGGACTTGGTTCTATTACCAATTAATCTGGGGATCGGCTCCTTCCTTTCTTTTTGATATTTAGGGTTACTTCCTAGTACTCTGTATATATAGCCCAAGGAATCAGCTTCTACACGATGCTTCTCATAGATTGCGGAGGTATTCATAGCCCATACCTCTATACAAGATTGACGATTAAGATAGCTGTAAAAGATGGCAAAAGCTTTTATTTTACATCCTGTATGGAAATTGGTTGGAGTGAACACAAAATCTTTGAAGATAATATTCCATCCATTTCACTCTATCAGCATCAATCTTGAGCTTTAGAAGAGAATAAACTATGGAGTTGTCCATAGTGGAGTTTCCTGTGACACTAAAAATACAATGCAAAATCAAATTGAATATCTCCTTAGCTTTATAGTTTATTCTTCTTTTTTGAAATCATAGTTTATTCTTCTTTTTTGAAGATAGACAAACATTGTGACCCAGAAATTCAAATCTGATCCACAACCAAGTCAGCCATGCAACTATGCTATAAAGCACCACTAGACTCTCTCTCTCTCTCTCTTGTTACACATGATGGGAAGAAAGAGAGAGTTAATTATGAACTAGTTACTCAGCCTTTTGTTGTGATTATTGCATGATCAAGTTTGTTACCTGAGGCTTTTATTGTCATTATACCCTTCAACAGACATGCTTAAGCGTTTTAAACAGTTGGTTTTTTCTCATGGAAATTACATAGTTTGGAGAGTTCTTCTCCCACAGTATCATGGATGCCTCCATGAAAGGGTTTTTTGTTTTTTTTTTTTTGGTGTCGTACCTATCAAGAAGGTAAGGAAAACAAAGGTCTGTAAGAGAAGCAAAGAAGTAAGCGTTCAAGCCACAGGAGTAGCTGAGTAATCGAGCAAATTTTTTATGACGTGTCAAGTTGAAGTCTAGTGATTATTTGTTGTTGGGTTTCTGTTGTTTGTTGGGGGATTGGAGTCTTATGATGGTAGGTTAGGTAGGCAGTATCTTGTTTGTTTGGACATTTGCATGGGTTTGGATGGTTGTGTTCAATTTTGGTTGTGATGTTGAGGGATTGGAGCCTGGTTTGTGGCGGGTGAAGGGCTTCTTTTTTTTTCTTCTCTCGGGTGATTTCTGGCCATCTTTCTTGTATTTGTAGTTTCTATTTTTTTTTTCTTTTAGTAAAATTTCTATTTTACACAAAAAATAAATAAAAAGTCTCTCAGGTCCTTTGTATCTTGTAATGGAGACATAATTTCTTTCCATTGGAATGGTTCTTGACAGGTTATACCTAAACTTGTAGTGTTATTCACTTATCATCAATACTTTATTGCTAAGCTTTAAATCCTGTATATTGCATGCATCATGGATAAAGCATCTTCCTATTTAAATGACCAAAATTTGGAATCCTTTATACAAATTCAGCAAAGCTGATTATAATGTGATTCTGAAAGTGGTTAAATTTTTAATGTATCCATACGATGAAGGTTTTTTCCTTCTCTGGTCACAACCCAATGACCCCTGGTCAATCTTTCCAATATATTAACATTTGATCAAATTCTGTAACATACTCCTTTCTATTTGGTTTTCCTTCAACATTGTACCTTCTGATATTCTTGACATATCGAAGGATGATGTCATTATTTTTAAATGCTTTACTGCTGCTATTAATGAAGTGGCCCTTTTACTTTTAAGTCAGAAAAGCTTTGTTGATTTGGTCTTTCTATTAGATCAACCGATCTTTATATCCCCAATTCTGAATTGCCTGGTGTTAATGGTAGAATACTTCAACATGATTTCCTGCATTTCCATGATGATGGATGGGTTACAATTGCTGCTACTGATACTACAGGAGATTGAGAAAACAGGGTTGCTTTCCAATGGTAGACCATTTGTGTGTTGTTGAAGAAAATCCTGAGAAAAACAAATAATGACTTGGTAGATGAATCAACTGAAGAGAACTACAAGAAATTATTTTGCGCTGGAGGAGTCTACTGATTTAGAACATGGAATAGCTATAGCTATAGAGCCAGGTCTCTCTCAAAAGGATCGACAATTTTGATGAGGATACTTAGAATTAATTCCACGTATTACTCTGTGAAGTTGGAACTGAAAGACATCATTACTGCAAATATAGCTGGTGTAACAAGTGATAAGTTGAAGGAGGACAGAAATAAAAATACTTGCTTTGGCTTCTGGTAGGAAATAGGCAACGCAACAGTCTTTCCCCAGGGGAAGGCCAGGACCTGCCAGTCACCGTCTGTACTCAACAGATTCAACAGATGAACGGGAAGCCGTTGGAGTGGCAGTGGCAATGGCAATGATTAAGAAGCTAGAAGAAAATGCAGGGAGTGGAAAAAAAAGTTGAGAACATCTGTTGAAGAAGCACCAACTAGATCACTAATTGACCAAAGCGTAATAGATTACAGATTTGTGATGGTTTCTCATTCTCAAACAAATAAAGCATGGTACTGGGTGGACATAAGTGATAAGTAAACATCTCCGGAATTTTTGACAGGGTTTCAAAAAGTTCCTACACTTTGATTTTTTTTTTTTTCTTTTAAAAACTACTTGGTTGGCCTAGCATAAAAAGTATAAACTTGGATCAACATTAACCAACCCTGATTGCAAAAAGGCACCAGTAAGGCAAAATACTAGTAGTACAAGTATATCTTAAATTTAGCCAGCCAATAGCAGCTCCAAACAAGCCCCAATAACGAGAGTCCAGACCAGATATATATATCTTAAGAGTTTTCAAAAAAATAATTGAAGCACAAGTGCATTGACAAGTGGCACAAAACCAACTTAAGAAGATTACATGGTATTTGACACGGCAAAGAAGCATTATTAATGAGAAATGATGGTATAGTATATAGAATGGTGAGACGAAAGACCAACCAGCCGCTCATTCTGGTTCATCAGCCAATTTTTGTCCGTCTTTGATCCTGCTGCCTGAAAGTGCAACACGTAACTCTACGACTACGTTGATGATAATTAATACCACCGGCAGGCGGCACCCATTGTTAATTTGTTATGTTATGTTAACCCTTAACCGTTGCCTTGCCGGAGACGGGAAAATACGAATACAAAATCTAATCCCCTCGTACTCAACACCACCAACTTGGAAATCATTTACTAAAATGCAGCAGCAGCAACCACGAGTCTCCATGATGACATTCAACAACCAGAAGGCAGAAGCGACTCGTGAGAACTGAGACGACTAGAGATTATAGCTGGACTAGTGGAGTAGGGACTTTGTTTGGTGAGAAATGAATTTGAAACCCGCGTCGTCATTTTTGTGGGTAGACAGGGAAGGCCGAGAAAGGGCGTTAATAGTAAAACCAGGGAAAAAGGAAGAGTAACAGTACCAAGGGGCAAGAGGAGACGAGACAACAAACAAGTTGTAATTTTACTGTCGATGAAAATTAAAATTCTTAAGCTCTTAGAATTAGCAACCCCTCACTGTACATCAGAGTGCAGTACCAACATATTTTCTATCAATACCAAAATATAATCACCAATATGCAATGTAACTCTGTCAGCTGCTGATACATATTACATAATTCAAGTTCCCTAGGTTGCATGCATTCTCAGACTCTCTCAAGAAGATGCGTCACTCAACCTCAATCTGCTGCTTCAACTCATAGGGGGAGGCTTATTTATCTCTTCCTGCCCACAAGCTATACCATCAACTGGCGTGTGCATCTAGCGCTGGTTTTCTCTACGCCTCACATATCTGGTTCTATCATTGTATCTGGGTCTGTCCTGAGCTCTCTGGGGCACCGGCTCCACCCTCCTCTGTCTTTCTGGGGATCTTTGCACTATCTCTCCATTCACGAACAGTTCAGCTGCAAACAAATAAAACTGCGTAAGAAATCCAAGGAAAGGGCATCATGATATTTCTGAGCTCTAATATGATTAACAACTCCAATTCTGTTTCTAACTGCATAATTTTCGGTTAGTGTCATGTCCTGAAAAGTTTTTAACTACACATCATGTTTCATTTATACTCATCTGCAACTTGATTTGATCGAGAAGCCCAAAGCAGTATGTTCATTGCTCTTGGAGGGATCTTCTACCTTCCCCAGATGGACTGAGAAAACCCATAGTTCAGCACGATAGCTACATATCAGAAATGAATTCATTTGAAGGAACCTAGAGCAGCTCCAATAGGTAATAAAATGTGGGAACGTAGACCAAGACTAAGATGGTTTGGTTGGTCACATGCAAGAGAAGACCATCTATGTACCGGTAATGAGAGGTGATCTGTGACAAAAGTTGATGAGGGTAGAAGAGTCGGCAGACCAAAATGGGCAATGGTTGAAATAGAGAAAAATTCTATAGTTTAATGGATATGGCACTGAACAGAATGGAATGGCAAATCAGAAATCATGTAGCTGTGAACCCATACACACAGAATGGGTTGGACCCCGCTAGTGGGGACAGGGAGAGCACTCCCTGCCCCGTGGGATCCCCACTAATATATTGTATACACACACATAAATATAAATATTAATATTTTTAAAAATATGGTTGAATATGTTTTAATCTTTTTTAATAGGATTGTAAATTTTAATTATATTATTTTTAAAAAAAATAAAAAACAAAAACAAAATGATTGACATTATAAAAAATCACAGGGAGTGAAGATCCTTGCGGGGATGGGGATAACCTTGTCCATGTTAGCAGGGAGTCGGGGATGGGGAGAGGCTTCCCTGTCCCCGCCTCGTTGCCATTCCTAAGTTGATAATTACTTTCCTTGTCACATTTAATACTTGTGATCACGAGGTTTTAAATTGCAGATTAGTTTAAGACAAACAATAGGCTTACCCATTTTCTGTTTAAAAACAAATGACAAAAAAAGAACGTATGCCTCATGGCTAGTTCCAAGAGGTAATTGAAGCAATGCTCTTCCCTAAGAAGATAGAATATGAGATCACCCATCAACAGAAGACTTCCCAGAAGGGAAGACCAATGTTTCTGATCGCTTTTTGTGACATCTACGTGGAATAAACAAACATGATTATGTTTGCTCCATCAGAGCAAGTAAAGGAGATCATGATCAAGAATACCTCCCCCATCACATAAAGCACCTCAAACATTTACCTGCACTAAAAATGCCTGATTCCCAATTCTCCATCTTTTTTTTTTCTATCAAGAATAAAACAGCATATGAATGTATGTCTCATGGCCAGTCCCAAGACGCAATAGCAGCAATGCTGCTCCCCAAGGCAATGGAATATGAGACCACCCATCAATGGAGGAATTTCCAGAAGGAAGACCATCAACATTTCTGAGCTCTTTTTGTGACGTTTACAATGGAATATACAAACATGATTGGTTTGCTCCATCACCAAGTAAGAAATATTTATCAAGAATACCTCTCCCGTCACATATAGTGCTTCATGCCCTCGACACATTGACAACTACACCTCCAATAATCGAAAAGCAAAAATTTATACCACAGATGCTGTGATTTTCTAAAAAGAGAAATCATATTGTTATGATTCAAAGCAGGGATTTCTAGCTAACAGTTTGGAATTTTGCCAAAAAAGGATTGTTAGCACATTTTATAATCCCCCTATGTTTTTATTAACATGTTTCAACTATGTAATGTAACCTTTCCATGACAATGTCCAAGTCTCGTTTAGATAAGGGCAGTTCAATTTCATCCACAATTAGACTACAGAAAGAACATTAGACTTTCAAAAACATATTATACTCCTGAATTTTTACTACACCATAGGAGCTTCAAAGCTCTAAATATATATTTTCTTTACTACTCGTAAGCATTTGAACAATTGCACATTACTATAAGTAAACACATCCATAGCTACTAATCATATGAAAGACAAGAATATCAAGAATATCATACTAATATCCCCTAATATCTTTGACATTAACATAGTAAATGGAATTGAAGAACCTGGGCATACCAAGCCAGAGGATGCACTAATAGTTGTCTATCTTGATTAGGTATTCCTAACTTCAACATCAGCCAATGGAAAGTAAGGTGAACTAAAAAAGTTGCAGAACTAAACGACAACTAGGTATAGACTGCCCGAAGTGTAGAAAAGTAAATATGAAATCCAGGCAAATATATAAACAATAATACATGCACATAAATGTTATAAACCTAAGCATAAATCAATAAAACATAGCACATTATACTAACAAAGATGAACAATGGATAATTCATGATGATCAAATTAATGTTTTAAATCCTCTTATTGTTTAAGTCTTACCTCCGTAATCTTTGTTCTCAGCATCGACGTAAGAATCAGGAAGCACAAACAGAACACCAGGGAGACCTACATAGGAGAAGAAAATTTGTCAAATTTGCAGTGCCACAACATAATTGTGATAGTTGACCATTCAATACAAACCTTCGAGTTTATTTGATGTTTCCTCATCAATCTCACATCCGAAGCCAAAATATCTCTCGCATGATACATTGTATATCTTCTTCTTTGCTTCTTCTTCACTGAGATTTTGTAACAGTAAAAGAAAAACCAAAATGACAAAAGAACAAACACGAGATGGAATGAGGCCTCATTGCAAATATTTTCTAACAACCAATAAAAAGAAGGAATGATTAACTTGTTGAAATGATTAAAAGTTGCAGAACCTACTGAGCTTCAACCCTACGAGATAACAATTGATCCAATCACCCATAAAAAAACAAAGCAACTAAGCGGTTTCTTTAGTTCACGAAATTCATTATCTAAAATCCCCAAGAGAAATAAATCCTGACTTCAGCAACTACAATATCATTCCGTTCTGCCTGACTCTATCGTGTTCTTTACCTTCCGACAACCTTGGCTAGGGTTTGGATGTAACAGTCGATCATCTGCTGCTTCGTGGCACCCTCGCCGCCGGGCTTATCCATAACGATGAGCCAGTGCTCGTAGTCGCAGCCAGGAAAGAGCGGCGCCATCTCCGTCGGCGGCCTGTCACTAAAGTTGGAAGACGAGTTCAACGGCGAATACGCCGAGTCTCCAGATCGCTGCACCCTGCATCGAATAGGGTTCAACCTTAACGCGCTTGGCGCGACAACTCGGATTGAGTGCGAGAGCAGTGACGAAGGACGCCTATTCCGGACAAAGCCGGGTAGTGGCGGGGAACCTGCGAAAGAAGTGGAAGAAGAAGCAAAGAAGCGTTTAGAGAGGAATAGCGCAGGTTTTGAGCAGCGAGACGATGCGACGGCTCGAGCTACGGCTGCTGCCATTGTCGTAGCCACAGAAGAGATAGGGTTTGAGGAGTGAGAAGTGACTCAACGCGTAAGGTGTCCACTGTTCCGTCTTCGGTCCCAAACTCCCAATGGCCAGGGTTTAGGGTGTATTTATAGCGTACATTGCAGATACTTTGGGGCTGAAAAAAAAAAAAAAAATCATTATCTGGGCCATGCTCTGAGCCGGATGTATTAACATGATATTTACAAACGACAACTTTTGCTTTTTGTTTTTTGTTTTTTGTTTTTCTTTTTTAAATTTTAATTGTGCTGCCAATACAAGGTAACAAGGTAAGAAGTTAAAACTCACTATTAGTTATCAGAATTTCTATTAAATAGACTAACAGGCGTTAACATATTACCAATTTAAAATATATACAAAATAAATTAACGGGTGTTAATATATTACCATTTTAATATTTAGATATGAAAAGGAAAAGATTCAAAAAAATATTTTTAAATATAAAATACATAAAAACATAGAAATTACAAAAAATATAATAAAATTATAGAAATTGCAAACAAAATAAAAAATTATTTTCAAATTATAGAAACTACAGAAATTGAAAAACAAAATTAGAAAATAAAAATTGTAGAAAAACACCAAAAATTATAGAAAAGCACAGAAATTGTACATAAATAACAAAAATACAGAAAAAGTTATAGATTGTAGAAAATAGAAAAATGTAAAAAACAGAAATTATAAAAAACATTGAAAGTTATAGCAAAACAATAAAAATGCAAAAAAAAAGAAAATTGAAAACTAAAAAAGACCATTTTTCCTCTAATTCATCATTCAAGGGTAATTTGGTCATGAAAATTATTATTTATGCTGACATGGACACCTCTGTTAAGAAACATTACCGGTGCACTAACGGAAGGTGAGTTTTGGAAAATAAAAACTTACTGACATGGTGAGTTTTAGACATTTTGAAAAGTTGTGAGTTTAAGGGAAATGTTGTAAACTCATGGTGAGTTTTAGACAATAAAAGTGTTGCCATGGAATAACATTTTTTTGTTCGGCAACGGTAGGGTTTTGTAAATTCTAAACCCTATTTATTTCTTTAATTCTCCCAATTCCAAATCCTTCCCGTATATAAAAACGCAAAATTCTCCTAGGCTTTACTCTCCTTTTATTCAAGGGTAAGGCAAGTTGAGTTTAAAATCCACATCTAATTTTTTATTATATATAACCAATAAATAAGTAAAATAACTTGAACAAATAGCAAAATTTTCAATTATTTGATTAGGACATGTAAAAAAACACATAAACTATTAATTATCCTTCACATAAAATTCAAAATATTATTAAATTTAACACCTAATTCATAAAGCTCATATGCTTTCCAATAATATGCAGGGTGGGGCGGGCTGGGTTTAGCCTATCATCATACCCTATCCATACCTGTACAAGTTGTAGAATCCTAAAACCCTTCCTTCGTCCCATTAAGGCAAAGTAGACCTGTTCATGGGCCGGTTCAGGCGGGGCTTGTATATGTATCAACAGAATACACTCAGGCCAGACCATCGGCCCTAGGTCTTGTGCCCGAGCTTAGCCAGAAATTTGAAAATCGATTTTTTTTTCTTTTTTTATTCAATAAAAAGTGTTTTATTTATATTAAAAACTTTCAAAACTCAAAAATAATAAACATCTCACTATTACTTGGAAAAAAGAGAAGAATAACAAAGAAGAAATATTGTATATATTTATTTATTTATTATTTACTATATAGTATCAAGTCGGGCTCAAGTTCGGGCCAGGTTTTATTGAGAAAGCTCGTACCCCACTCGAAAAAAAGTCAAGCTCGAGCCTGAGCCCGCGGGCCTAAAATTATGACCAAGCCTGRCTTATAATGGGTCGGGTCGGGCCAACCTGTTAGGCTACCCGGCCCATGAACAAGTCTAAGGCAGAGTAGGAGCGGGTACCACCAGGTAGGGTAGAAATTGCCATACCTAATTGCAGGGATGTAAACAGATTGGATCATATTCGGGTCAAGTATATCCAAATTCAATTCGATTGGATAAAAATTTTATTTGAGGTTGAATATGTTAAGGATGTATGATATTTGAATATGATCGAATTTGATTTAATTTCTCTAAAATTCAACAACTTATTAGAAGGAAATAACATAATAATCTACATAAAGAAAAACAAAAAGTGCAAGTATTTTTTCAATTATTTTAATCATATTTATACATGCCTTTTTATAAAAAAGTAAATAATATAAAAAATTACAAAAATATAATATAAATATATTTATAAATAAATAAATAACTAATATATATAAGGTCGGATATGGGTGATCCTAATTGGATTTAGATTCAATAAAATAGGACCAAATTTGAATTGTCACTTTTGCTTATTTTAAATAAAATTAACACTTTTTTTCTAAAAGAAAGGGATTAGATCATGACCCGATTCATTTTGCATCCCTACCGTATAGAGCTTAGACAAACAAAAGGACATCTGAAAAGATTTGAATTTCATTCCACCTTTCTTCCGTATCAAAGCATAAGGCTTTCCAGATTGAAACGAGATCTGCACCTATGGCTATGGCTGATTCCTTTATACCAAAATGACTACTTATTGCAAATATGAAATCAGTTTTGTTAGATAGCACCACTTCAGTTGAGAATTAGCCACCAGAGATTGCTCCATCACAAAAGAAAAAAAAAAAAAAAAGTTAAAATTCTTTTTTTCTTTGAACATTCCACTAAAGTTAACAAAATGGCCCCTTGACCTTTTGGTCCCAAAATGTTCCTCAATCCATGGATCTTCCTAATGAGAAGCTTAAAAGGCTTTGGGTGGGGGTAAGGATCTAGTACCAACAATAGAATCAACAGGCTTGAATCCAAATTAGACACCTTGTTGACCTAAGGTGAAATAATGTGAGCACAAAGGGCCAGAATTAATTGGATAAAGCTACGAGATGGGAACACAAAAAGGAGAGCCAACAAAAGAATCCTAAAATTCGGACTTGGGTTGAAGGTGAAGAGGAGATTACATATGTCATTTCAAGCCATTTTGAGGAAGTTTATAGATCTAGTAATCCTTCAGGTATTGAGGTCCTTCTAGAAGTTTGTGAAAGGAAAATCACCCCTGAGGAAAACCTAGTTCAAGAATTGGATGTTTCTGATATAGATGGAACCCTCTAAGGCTTCAAGACTGGATGACTTCCCAAACTCATTTTTCTTAGAAATGTTGGGATGTGGTAGGTTAGGATGTCTGCCAGGCTGTTAAAGAGTTTTTTCAAAAACTGATTGGGACCTAAATGCCACTCTAATCCCAAAAATAAAAAAGCTTCAAATTCCAACTCATTTCAGGCCAATCAGTAGTCTGTGTAACACTTTGTATAAGATAATTGCAAAAGTCTTGGTTAATAGAATAGACTAAAGCCCTTGCTAAACAAGCTCATTAGCACCAACCAAAGTGCCTTCATTTTAGGAAGAGTTATCAATGATAACATTTTTATTGCACATGAACTCATCCATCCTACGATATAGAATGGAGCGGATCTTCTTAGAAAAAGTATTAACTAAAGTGGGTTTCGGGATGGAATGTATGACGATAGTTTCCTATAAGTTATTAGTCAATGGAATCCCATGCACTGCTTTTTGTCTTGAGCGAGTGTTGCGACAGGGGGACCCTCTATCCCCTTATCTCTTTCTCTTGTGCTTTGAAGTGCTATCTGCTAAGCTAAATGACCTTGTAACTTGGAGATTACTCTCTAGAATTAAACCGAATCATCAATGTCCTATAATCTCTCACCTCTTTTTTGCAGATGATAACTATATTTTCTTCAAGGCATTTCTTAAGGAAACTCTCTATGAATATGAAATGGTGAACTTCTCAAAATACGAAGTTTTCTTTAATAAAAATCTTCATCCAAGACTGAGAAGGGTAATTGCTTTTAACTTGCAAATAAAACAAGTGAAAAAGCCTTCCAAGTATCTAGGCCTCCCAATTGGCTTTGGCAATTCAAAAAAAAAAAAAAAAAAAAATTAATGGACTCATGGAAAGAGTGGCTCAAAAATCAAATGCTTGGTATGCCTTACTCCTTTCCCATATAGGCAAAGAAGTGCTTCTTAAATTTGTCATCACAGTCATTTCTACATGCATTATATATCATGTTTCCTAATCCCCAAATCAATTTGTGATGAACTTCCAGCTCTCTAAAGAGATTTCTGATGGGGGAAAATGCAAGTGGAAATAGGAAAATCCCCCGACTTAGATGGGACCTAGTTTGTAGAAACAAATCTGATGGAGGCCTTGGGATTCGTGACCCCTATTCTTTCAATTTAGCTCTTCTGGCTAAATTAGCTTGGAGATCGGCTGCAAAAGGAAGAAAGTCTTTGGGCCAAGGTTATAAGTGCTAAATATATTAAAGAAAAAGGACTTTCTAAGGGATAATTTTGCTAGAAGGGGCTCTTGGGATTGAAAGAGTATTTTAGAGGGGAGAAAATTAATCAAAAGGGATTCTACTAGGCTGTCAATCAGGGTGAGGGGATCTCCATTTGGGATGATCCTTGGCTTCAAACCACCCCCAGTCATAGACTAGTTGGGCCTAAACCAGGCTTGGGATCCCCCACCTTTGTAAAGGATCTTATAACTCCCTCCTTTAGATCTTGGAATATGGAGATAATCAGAGCAGATCTATTCCCTTGGCTCTCGGAACTTGGCAAGATAAAACTTTTGGAGTCCATCAGCAAATGACAAGATTTCAGTAAGGTTAGCCTACTTTACAACTAGATCCCTTAATGATCCTTTACACTATAGCATTTATCCTTCCAACAGAAGTCAGTGGTTTATTCCGATTGAACCAAAAGTGAAAACTTTTATTTGGAGAGCCATTCATAACGGTCTAGCAGTGTGCACTAATTTAGCCAAAACAAGCATCCTCCCCCATGGACATCTGTTGTTTGTGCCATAATAAACTTGAAACCATAACCCACACCCTGGTGTCATGTGACCATGCCAGAAGATTTTGGTTAGGAAGCATCTTCAGTGCTAGAGTGCGAGAGGTGCAATCAAACAAGGTGTTTTGTTAGCTGAGTGTTGCAACTTCAGGAAAGTGATTCTCGAGTCAGATTGCCAAAACTTGATCAAATGTGTGAATCAGAAGATTTCGGATTTTGTCTAGGCGTCTTCTTCATTCTTAAAGATATTTTTGATACTTCAGTTGGGTTAGACATCTCCTTTTTGTATGTTAACAACAGAAAAACTAATACTATTGCTCACGCCTTAGGTAGGAGAGGATTGCAGGATTAGGGTCTTTTTGTTTACAATTGTCCTGACTGGTTATTATCTTTAGTTAATGATGATCCTTCTTCCTCTCTTGCTTGATTCTCTTTGTACTATTGCTATTATGAATGAAACTTTTTTGATTTGGGAGTTAAAAAAACAAAAAAAGAAGAGAAGAGCATTTGGAATAGCTTGTTTTTCTGAAAAAAAAAAATAGGACACTACAGCCTCACATTGGGAACGTCCCCCTTTTCATTCACGGGGGGAGATGTTCTGGATGTACTGTTGCAATAGCGAGTTGGGATGTTGTTGGCACTGTATATTGGTAGCTAATACAAACTCCTTGGGTGGGTGTACTTTGGTTATGAAATATTTTCTGGTTCTTAGAATTCCATAAGTAGTTTAAAAAAGCATTCTATAAGTAGTATAAGGTAGTTGCCATCTAACCAAAAATGCAAAAAAATTGTCTCCTTATCTTTTGTGTGCATGGACACGTCTATTTAAATTTTAGTCCACCTGTTTTCTTTTGCATAATCAAACTTGAAACCCCAAGGAGATCTAAGTCTTGCTCAAGGTTCAAAGTATCAGAAACGCCAAGTGTACTGAAAAGGCAATTTTAAGAAACGGATCAGGATGCACCTTGAATATGCATGTGTATCAGAAAAAAATTAAGATAACATGGAAACACTATAAATGCTTCAATAAATCATAAAATTACATTAATAACACTAAATATAAGGCCATAATGAGGTATACATACATTAAATTAATATATTTTAATGGTTTTATGAAGAAATACATCTTAATCAATTATAATTTCATTAAAAAACCTTGTGCTTAACTATAATTTATAAATTATAATTCTTAAGTTTTAAGGGATGGAAAAAGCCCAATTATCCTATCCATCCATAAAACATGCATTGGCACAACTTGTAAGTGAAAATAAAATTAATAATGATTTCTTATTTAAATAATTGTTTATTTTTTATGTTAAAAAATAAAAAATAAATAAACATTGCACAATATATTCAAACAAATAATTGTTGAAGAAGAAATTTCAATTGCTCTTTAGATATGATAGATCATCCATATATGTATATATAATATTCAATCCTTGTGATTAGATCATAAAATATAACTAATTATTATTTATTTTTTTGACTCTAAAATTATAAAAAGAAATATTACATAAAAAATTTCAATTRCTCTTTGAATATGATAGATAATATGGGGCATATTATGTTGACATTTGAAACCTTGGTCTTGCTACAAGGCACTGGAAGAAAAGATAAGCCAAAGTCTCTTCATGTTCACCAGACATTAAGAACATAAAATCCAAAGAGGAATTGAACAATGACAGTTTAGATTTAACAGGGACATATTTGCAGAAAACATGCCACATAAACAAAATACATCTTGGGGGAGCCTTTGATTTCTAAGGGAGTTTAAGAATTTTACTATCACCGGGATTAAAATTGGAAGTATTCTTCTTGCGGGTGTCCTGATAATAGCTTTTTGGAGTGAATTTATCATTTGAATCGGGAATACAGATTCATTTACCTTTGTCCTCCATTCTCCGAATTGGAGTTTCAAGGATTGATCTCTCACCAATAGCCAATGGGGCAATGGTTTGGTTTTTTTTTTTCCCCTAATCCAGGGATATAAGGTCCTTGGTTTTTATTTTACATCGAATTTTATTAGGGGGAGCCACGAGAGACATATATTGATTATTATTATTTTGAATCCATAGCACATTCCAGATTGGTCAAATCTTGATTATACATCTCAATTTAAATCTGGCCTATACAAAACAAAAATTTCTACCCTTTACAATGAATTAAATGCAACCTAAAGAAAAATAAAAAGAAAACCAAGTATTTACAAACCATTTATGCCTCGTTCGCTTTTCGGTAAGTCACTTGTCCAGGTAAATACACTTATCTGAGTAAATGTTTCCTAGGGAAGACTTATTCGGGTAAGTGCATTTACCTATGTTTTTTTATTTCTCATGTAAATAAGGCAATGACCATCTTAACCATACAAATTCCAATATTAAAAGAGGCATTTTTGTCCCATCAAAGTATTGGCAAGTTTCCCCAAGATAGAAAAGTTAATTTACCCACTTAGAGGATGGGTATCACTTACCAGATAAATGATACCTAGGAAAATAAACTTTCATTGATTCCTACATAAATCTGAAAAATGAACATAGGTTTTCTTGGTCAATGGAAATTTGACCAACTTTCTCCCTCTCAAAATCCAAAAGAACGCCCTTAAGATAAATTTGTTTCAATAAATTAGATTCAATCAAATCCCAATAATAACTTCCCATTGGGAATCACTGAATGAGTTTTTCAAGAAAAAACATTTGATGGAAATAATGATGATGAGACATTTTTTTTTCTGAAGTACATTCAACTATCACAGCAACATTGGTTTGCACATCATTGGCATGGACATGTCATTTCCGGTCAGAATTCAGAAATGCATTGCCCGAAATCATGAGAAGGAATCTACCGATTTTCGAGAAATTGGAAGGCAGATGCTAGTGTGTGAAAACATTGATCATTTCATATCAACAAGTAGGACCCAAATTGGAATTGACAACTCAATTACCCTCACCACACATCCCCTGAGGGTTGAGGCTATGATGTACCCAAACTTCTTTAAGGCAAGAATTAAAAAAGTGTTTGACAATGGAAAGAATAAAGAAAGCTAAGTTGGAGGACATGGCCCATGATAAAACTCAACTCTTATACTCCCTCAAATGATGGGACATACAATCAGCAGACTGGAATCAATGTGTGTGTGTGAGAGAGAGAGAGAGAGAGATAGAGAGAGAGAGAGAGGGGTCTGCTGCTAAAGCCACAAAGTGGGAACTGAATTCAATCTTACAATGTATATATCAGTGCTTAAAAGACATTGATACAATGATTTTTGTAAACAAATGTGTAACCACAGTTCGAAAGAAGAAGATAATGTGGAAGACAAGGAACTCAGAAGAAGATCTTGGTTAACTGCGCTTCTTGATCTCAAATGAATAATTGAGTTCCAAATGACATCTCTTGTCATCATCTTCAAACTGCATGAAACAATATAATCATAAAACAAAATTGGGGAAATAAACATTCAATTCTACAACTAAATTAAAACATAAAAAGAAAGAATATATTTAAGTTTTTTAGAAGATTTATAATCTGAAGTGGAACAGTAAAATAACCAGGCCAAGTGCATGGCTGAATCTGTGGTTTCAACCAACCTCTCTATCACCAATCACAACTCTAGCTTGTTGCATTTGATTGCTCTTTTTGAAATTAAAAGGCTGTTTAGTGAATCCTTGTTTTGCCTCATAAAAATACCAATTGCACAGCAAAAGCTTATGATTGCTGCTAATGGCTTATATTCCTCTTTTAACCACAGGAAAAAAAGAAAGAAGGCTTGTTTATTTATCATGTTAACAAAATGAAAAGAAAAATGAATGCAAAGCTTTTACAGGGTAGTTTACCTATATCCAGTAAGAGCCTAGGGGAATTGATATAATGTACTTGAGATTTGCAACACATGGCAACCTACCATTTAATCTTAATGAAACCACTCTGCAAAGGTTAGAATTTGAGACAATTGAGTGCATAATTCTATTACTACATTTTAATATGAGCTTGCAGATTTGCCAAAGTTGAATGCAATATCATGGCAAACTAACTGAATCTAATTGACTGAGATAAAACTCAAGGTTCAAAGCAATATGTTTGGCAAATTGACTTAGATAAAACTCGAGATGTGTATCTCAATTCATGTATCAACAGAAATTATAGTTTCAAATACACATATTAAAATACAACTAAGAAATATGTTGGAGAAATCCCAGAAACTCTGTTTGTCCAAAAGAATAAACTTTGGGGGGTTGATTACACTAGGGGCACAAATCTGCCATAACAGTACTACAAATTGCTATAGCTTTTACCTCTTCAACCATCGACTTGTAAAGAGAAATTGAGATATAAGAATAGTAGCTTCCAAGTTCTTTAATTGTATGCTTAAGTATCTGTCTTTGTATTTGTAGCCCACAACAGTCCTGGCAAACCCCCCCCCCCACAAAAAAAAATAATAATAATAAAATAAAATAAAAATAAAAATAACTAGCAAATGGAAAATATAAGAATTGTAAAGATAGAAAGCAAACATTTAGCAGTTTATTATATAGTGTTACTTTTACATTTTATATAACTTTAGATATAAATTTTGCATATATAAGCATAAGAAATTGCAATCACCTTCAGTTTTGCCAAGTAAGTTCCACGTGCAAGCACACCAGTAGGAGTGGTCTCTTCTTCCAAGCAGTGTATGTAGGGTTCCCGCTGTGGAGCGAAAGTACCTAACATCCCCCTTGTCTGATCAACTGAGTTCAAGATCATAAAAGAGATGAAAACAACCATGGGTTACTCCTCTGAATACAAAATCTTGGGGAATTAACAAATCACGTGGAATCACATATTAAGTAAACTCCATAATGATAATCCCTATACACGTTTAACCTACCTGATCCACTAGTGTAAGCATGAAAGAGCTAGGTTCTTTATATGAAAATTACAGAGAGGCTACAATCAGGGGGCTCTCATTGTAAGTGCAAAGAGGTGCCCTCCCTTCAATCACCATGCGTCCTATGTATACTGTATAGAGGATCTGGACCCACCATTATGTATACTGTATAGAGGATCTGGACCCACCATTAAATAGGTACCACCTAATCACCTAAAAGACCACCTGTCTAAAAAACCCGAAAGATCAGAGAAGTTTCAACCATCTGATTTGTGAATTTTTCTTTTGGAATTTTCTTAGCTTATTCAATTAGAAATCTAACTTTCTCAGCAAATATTTTTGATAGTAAATTTTATATGCAAATATATATAAATAAAATCATTTGTTTGTGCTGATTTTTCACATAGTTATTGTTTAGAGTGGGACCTATCCGATGGAAGATCCCAATCTTCTTAATTCAGATACATGGCAGCCTTGGTTCAAATAATCAATATGTACCATATGATACTTATTGGTTTTCAGGGCCATTAAAATGCTAAATACAAAGATTTAGAGGGTGACTATGGGTTCAAACACCCTCCTATTATATCTATCCTTGAATTATTAGAACTGAAACAATAGAAAAAGGAGCATCAATGGTTTTAGATGCTTGATGCTGAAAAATTTAGAATTTGAGTGTATCGATACTTTGAACCATGATGGCAGATTAAGAGGACACCTTATTGCAGTTGTCATGGAAGCATATGCGCATTACAACATACCTCTATGGACAAATATAATTGAAACTGAAAACACCATTCAAAAACAGATCTATTGATTAAGCAGAATGAAAAAACAAAATGTGACAAGTAATTCTAACACTTCCTCACTTCGTTTTCCAGTAGAATAGAGAAAACCAGGAAATTTAACAGTCTTTTTATACAGATGTATTGAAAAACCAGAACAAAAAACAAAATAGAGGATTACTGTTAAACACATGTAATTTCAAATTTCCTCTCTCCATTTTCCAGTAGAATAGAGAACATCAGAAAATTAAATATATTAACATTCATGCTTTTTGGGTCCACATATACAAAAGAGTGAACAGTAACCAAATAGGTCATATAACACTAATGCTTTTCTCCAGAAATGAGAATGTTTTGAATGAGTTTCTTATAGTGTTATGACTGAAGCAAATCCAATGAAACTTTGAGTTTCTACCTATCTTCTTCACCTTGAATTCTCATAATCTTAGATTTCTTAAAATTAATTCAACTCTCAAGCTAATAATCTAATTAGTGCACTTTCTAAGAGACACCATTTTATCTTTTGCACTTAAAAAGTTAAGTATAAAGTAAAGAAGAAGGGGGATACTAACCTTGGATGCCCCCCTTCCACACCGTGTTGGAGTAGGCCAAGCCAGAAACAATATTGTGCTTAACTATGAATGTCAGCTTAAGTCGATATTGTGATCCCTCTCTCAGTGTAAACAGGACTCGGCTGCTCTGTTTCTCATCCACGGGCAAGGGGGTACTTATTTCTCCACAATCCTCAGAGATGATTCCTATTGAATGGAATGTAACTTCGGGCTCCATTTGGCCTAACAAAAGCAGAAACCAAAATTTGCAAGAATCAAATACTAATAAATAAGGCCTGGAACATTATTGTAACAGGAAATATAGGAAGCCCAGAAGGGAAAACCATTTAAATCTTCTTGGACACAACCAAGCAGCTTTTCTTTCCACCTCCTTAAGCTCTCATCGTCCTGCAAAAAAATAGCATTAACATTAGAAAAATAGAACCAGGAAAATTCACTCCATAAGACTATTAACATAACGGCTGAGTCACCATCGACTTGTATGAACGAAAGATCTAGGCATTCTACCAAATCTTCAGGCTTACAGACCATGGAAAAAAAAAAGAAATAAATCAAACCTCCAAAGCAGAACTCAACAAGCAACAATGCTCCAATCTCGACAACAACCATGTTAATGCAGAAGACTCGAAAACATTCAAAAGCCTAATTCAGGGCAGATACAATCATACAACACAGAAATGCTAAATATGCAACAATGGAACAACCCCATCTGAAAGTAATACCCAAGAGTGAAATCGAAAATGGTTTAGCGGTAAATCTCTAGGGAATCAGAAACCCACTAAACCACTTAGCAAAACAATGCCATTTCGCACTCAAAATTTATTTCCACCTAAGACCAAGTGGACCTTTGTTTTGGTGAGATGTGGTTGGATCACAGTAAAGCGAAAGAAGAAAGAAGACCTTGTCTTTCTCAAGCTGTTCCTTGAGAGGAACCAAAGGACCGGGAACAAAACCAACATCAACCCCATCGTCTTCTTCGTCTTCCTCTTCAGCAACCTCATCATCACGAACCTTCTCACTGGTCTTCTCAGTTATCATCTCTCCTCCCTGTTGCTGCTGCTGTTTCTGTTCCTGCTTTTCACCAACCATGGAAGAAGAACCACCCGAAGAGGGGCTTGCTGCTTCCACTCTCCCACCACTCTCCATCACTGACACTACCAACTTCCACTCTAAAAACTCCCACTTTCTAATTATCAAACTAAAAAAAAGCAAAATAGAAAAAGAAAAGGAGAAAACTCACTCAACATTTCGAACTTTAAAGCAGATCACCCCAGAAGTGAAAAGTAAAAAACCGTATACTCTACAGTCTACAGCTGTGGTGTATTTATACTAAAAAATACGGTTACTATTGGTCTTTGTTCTCTGTGTCTCTACTCTCGTTCTCCTCCGTAGTTGATTAATTGTAAGAACTTAAACATCAAGACGGAGAAGATAAGAGACAAAGGACCAGAGATATCGTCCGTTTACCGAGTACATATGTTAACTGGGTTCTCATGCATTATACGTGAGAATGTGGGACCCAGTAATGGCTTTGTGGTCATCACCAATCACCACCGGCGTGATGGGTGGAGTGAGTGTTATTTTTATGGGTCCCACCGTCACCTACTTCGTGTACGGTTGAAATTCATGCATTTCGTTGAAATTGCTCACAAATCCACATATCAAAAAAGCTATTAAGGAAAAGAAATTTTAAGAAAGAAGAAAGAAATAAAGAATGAAAGATTTAAAGAATCTGGGTGTTTTGGCGCCAAAATCAGTAGTAGTGATTTGTATTCGAATATGATAATAGATGAGAGAGGTCAGGCCACAGAGACCATGGATCATAAAGTCATAAACCCCCTTTTGTTATTTCGAGAAAAAAAGAAGAGATGTGGAAAAAGGTATGGTTAATGGATGGAGGTTTTCTTCGTTTGCTTGTTGGGTCTGGGGCTCTGGGCAACCAGCAATGATATATAGAATAGTGACACCAATTTTTCAGAATTCAGACAGTACATGGCAATGATATTGTTGTGTGGGAGACACGACACACGAGGGGACCGTGCCCGACTGAAGAGAAGTCATTCTGGGCTCTGGGCTGCCACCATCATCATTATGCCACAAGACTCCGGCAAGAGAAGAAACATTCTACCGTTAAATTACAGAGAGCCACACTGTACTTGGGAGTGATAACACTTGCCCCCTTAGGCCTTAGTAGAGGGTGGCTGCCTATCATTTACCCTATTTTTTTTACATTGGATATGGGTCAAGGGTAAAATGGGATATGCAAAGAATGCAAACCTACAACATTTCTCATCCAAAACCCATCAAGCTGCAACTTTTTTCAACTCAACCCTAGAAGTTTTTCCCCACTACTCCACTATCTGTACATGCAAGTTCCCATTGAGGCTTCTGGTGGGCACCACCACGACTCAACTCTGTTGTGCCATCAAGGCTTTGTGAAGGGCTGATATGACAGATTCAGACCATCTGTGTGCTAACACTTTTCTTTTGTAGAATAAATAATGTCAAAATGCCCGCATCACATGTTTGCCTACTAATTATCCTGTGAAATGGAGCTCCACTTTCAACTCTTTAACTTCCTTGTCCATATAAACTCCATATCCACCATTAAGAAGTGTAGATGTTCACCACTCCGGGTTAAGGTCCTCTAGTGTTTTTCTGAATCAAAAACCCAGTAGTCAGCTTTGAATAGAAAGGTTTCCACATGCTCATGTCCTGATGTGAGATGCTACAAAGAAGGATGATCAACTTCTTTAACATATGCATCCTTAATTAGTGACAATGCCAATAAGAACAAATTACAGATGCATCTCTCTCGTAAATGGCACAGTAGGCAGTGAGACTGAGGTGTAATTAGCCATAGAACATCTTGCTTTTGTGATTCAGCTACAAAGCATTTTTTTTTTTTTTTGATAGGTAGCTACAAAGCACATGCCGCAAATAAGATAATGATATAACACTAGGATTCAAATAAAATACCAGAGACATAATGAGGTCCAACTTATTGAAGCCATATGTTGGGCCCTCTTCTTTTGCAGAATTTCTCCCCAACCATTACAAGGATGGATATTCTGTCCTATTCTATTATCTCAAATATCGAAGAAAGATATAGAGCCTTTGCTGGCTCTGATTAAAAGATCCCCTAAACCAATTCCTATTCCACAACTCATAAAGTGAAACTGATAGGCAATCAGTTGGAAAGCAAATCCCCTGTTAACATCAGGATCAATAGCATATTGCCATTAATATCTTCTTTTAAAGGTTTCTGATGAGAATCCACCATGCTTTATCTGTTTAGCAACAGAAATCCATAATAAAGTCTTAAAGTATAAATTTGATTTCAGTTATCTATCAGAATGCAGAAAGATACTTACAGAACAAGAAATTCTGAATAGCATTTCTTGGTCCATTACCTGACTCAAAGTACAAGAGTTCAGTAGCAAAGAAGCTATAGTTTCTCTAACCTAGATATTACTATGATACATTAACAGAAAACAAAATAAGAAATCACGAGGAAATAAGGCATCTATCCAAATATAGTGTTCAAGCCATTAAATTTGCAGTTGCATGTCAAGAACAAGTGCCATGAATGAGCACATATCCTATTCTGTGCCAATTAATGCCAGAGACCACTATGTTTTTCATTGCATGGATTCTTCAGGAACTTCCAAAGCAGTAGGAAAATCCCCCTACATTTATTCTTTTTTCCCAACTATTAAATCCAACCTAGAAAATAGCACCTTAATTTCTAATCATGATTCATGCACCAGAAACTGTCCCTTGTTATTTTGAAGATAAACAATGTGAGCATTACAATATCAATGAACCAGTTTTCATGATTCACCATTCACCTCAATATGATTTAGGATCTGTATAGATGTAAGGAGAATCATAAAAATAGTAAATATGTCACAACTTCCTAAGATTTGTACCTTAAACCACATTTGTAGAGAAATTTAGAGAAAAATGTCATTAGCTTTGTATAAGACCAGACCCTTTTTTTCTGAGAGTTGTACTTCATTGTTTGTAACTTCACATGAAAGTCAATAATGCCTGACAACAATTACTGTGAAAATAATCCATAAAAAAACCAAAATTTCTTGCACCCATCCAGAATTAAAAACCTGAAATGCATGGGGACCTTTACATAGCCCAAACCAACTCGCATAAGAGCAGCTCTACTTAATGAGTGAGCAAACAAAATTTTTGAGCATTGAGTAAGACAACAATGCTAAGGCACTTTATGCTACCTTCAGGAAACCACTGAATATAGCTTCTTTATCATTATCATGTACCAATTTCCTTACCAATCCAAATAGGTTGTATCCCTTGCTCTAACATATATGTGCTCTGAATGTTAATGGTTTCAACCAGTTATCTCTTATATTAATAAAACCTACAATTGTGCCAGAGCTTGAAGAGTGAAGAGTCAAAAGGTTTGGAACAGAACAAAATAAAGGGAAAAAACTCTATTTTATTGCTTCTTTTTCAGATTACAATGCATGAATTGTATGGAAATACATTGATATAAATAAGAGGATTACATGGAGATGTACATGGATGCTTACAGAGATCATGTGTCCATTCTAGACTAATCATCTGAAGGGTTCAACTGGTGCAGATTCTTCAAGAAGAACTGCAGCCTCAAAACATTCAACAGCTTCAGATGTTGATGCACCACCTTCAGCTTTGTAAATAAGTCCAAGGTTGTACCAAGCAAAATGGTTTGTCTTGTCTAGCCGCAGTGCATCTGTTAGAAAGCCTCTGACAACTGGCAATGATGGCTCACCAAGTTTTCCGAGTACAACAGCTGTAGAGACCAAACTTGGGACATGGTTAGGTTCAATGTCTAATGCGCTTGCAAATGCTTTCAGAGCTTCTCTGTAAAGACTCTTCGCTTCATATAGTGCACCTACAAGTTCAGAACAAAGAATCCCTTTATCTCAATGTCTTGGCCAAAAGTTCAGTTTGTTATCATTTATTTCTAGCCATTGTAATGTCTAGGTGAAAAAACATGAACTGCACTAAATCAAATCAAAGATCACATTTTCCTGAAACAGAGGACAAGAACATTGAGATTAAGCAATTTTATGCAGTTTGGTTGAAAAAGAGTTGTTACAGCAAAGAAAGAAGAGAGTGAAGAAGATGTGAGACCCAGGTTCTTTTATCAGTAAACGTGGGACCCATGTTAAAGCAATTTTTTTCTTGGGTAAATTTTTGACAACTTACCTAGGAAAGTCTTACCCTTCTTGTAGGTGGGTAAGTTGCTTTCCTACTTGGAGGAAAGATGCTAAAATTTAATGACACAAATGCCTATTGAACAGGCACTAAAAACAAAAAGGTACAAGGATAAAAATGGAAACAGGAAAAACTTACCTAGGCAGAAAAGAGCACAGGTAAATGCACTTATCTGGGTAAGCATTACCTGGGAAACAGTTAACCAGGTAAGTGATTTACCTGAAAATGAATAGGGCCTAAAGAATAACCCACAATCAACTAAAGAATAAAGAAAATAAAACACTAGCTACGACTAGTCCCATCCCATAGGCCCACTAAATTCTTTTCAACAAAATAGAAAGTGATTGATTAGTTAGCAAGAAGCAAGCCATAAGCTGGTGGGAAACATCCCTACTCAATCCATCATCCTTGGAGGCTTAGACATAAGCTCTTAATTTGGAAAAATTACAACATGATACTGGTAAATTTAAACTTTATACCTTGAGTCAAAGCAGGTTTCACAGACAGAATCATGAAATCATGAATAGTGACATGGAAGACTCCTTGGAAATTTAAGTGTCTTTACTCAGTGACTTGGCAGGCAGTCCTGCTCCCTTGGTATTATTACTTCCTAGCCCAACATGACCTGATCTCTTTGGGCCTTTTCTCTGTCCCATGATTTTGTCAATTATAAAAATCAAGTTATTGAATTTTATTACCTTCCTACATTACCCTACTCCATAGATTTTTATTCTTTACCTTTTTTCATATTTTGAGGGGTTTTCCCCACATTAAGACCAATTGTAGGGTAATATTGGAAAATAAATGTAACTAAAAGAGACAAACAAAACATCAGTAATTATCACCTTAAATTATTATTTTTTTCAGAAATGCTGTCTTAGATAGAGAAGTACAACTTTTGTGGAATGGGCAAACCTTGCAATAGTACTGGTTTCAGTTAAACCGAGAATGAAAACCCACAAGTTGAAAAAGGTTTGAAGAGGATGGTGGATATTGTTAACCATAAAGCAATACAACAAACCTAATAAGGTCAGCATACTGTTTGATCCAGTGCTTGGGAATTCCTAATCATGAACCTTCATTATGGTTTTCAAGAAGGATATCCAAGATAGAATAGCCAGTTTATGTGCTAATCCAAATACCTCACATGTTTGGTTTGTTAATGTAGTGTATTTTAGTGGTTTTTCCTGCCTTTCATTTTCTATTTTTTCACTTCACTTCTTTTTAGGTAAGAGAGGTGTGGCGGATGACATTCTTATATGGTAGTATTATTACCTCACCTGATCATTACATCTAATTACTTCAGTTCTTTACTCTTTTAGTACTCAAAATACTGAGAGAAAAACATTTTTTCTCTTTGACCCTTTGCCATTTTTAGTTTCTCAGTGTTATCAAAGTGTCAACTAATCAGTTGAGTCAGTTAAGGGCCATACCAAGTAGTTTGTTGATACCCACCATGTTGTTGCGTGGGATGAGTAGCATTAAACTAGGTTGACTAACAATTAGCTGTCTAATTAGCCTAGTTGACCTAGTGAACTACAAAGTTGTTTTAAAGATTTATTTCTTTGTTTTTATATCTAATTATCTAAAAATAATGTCATATGCCACTGTTTACCTGACTGGTTAGACCAGTGACCTGGTGACTCAGTCATTCTGGTTCTATTCAACTTCTAATCCATCATTTTTTTTTTGATAAATGGTAAAAATGATTGTATTAAGTATAAACTATAGAGGAGGGCAAGAAATCATCAAACATATACAGAATGTCTGCCTGTATATATGCACAGTACATATCCAAATTACATTCAGCTCCCATACAAGAATCAAAGTAGAAGAAATGTCCAATGGTCAGTAATGACTAGCTGGAGTTCCTGCAAAAATCCTTGAATCGCCATCCCATCTTTTCAGAGTCCATTCCACATTGTTAATAACCACCTCCATCAGAGCATATTTAGCCTAAAAAATTCTATAATGACCACATCTACCTTGCCAGTCCATCATATTACAAAAACACTGTTAATTTAGTCAATGGCCTGTCAACCAAGATGTTGAACCATTGACCCATCTGAGCAGTTTAATGGGTTACAGGTTTTTTGTATTATTTCTTGATTTTTTTTTTGTTGTTAATGAAATCCTGGGTTGACCAATTGACCTGGACTGTTGAATTGTTAATCTGTTGACCCAGAGGGAATGGTCGTTCAGCTTCCAAGGCATACACAAAAGAACAATGGTGGAGTTCTTTTAGGTCTTCTTCCAAACAGTGGTGTGTTGATATGGAGTTATCACAATAAGAGGACCAACTCAAATAGTCAAAGTTGCACTTAATCTTTGAAAACAAAGACTGCAGCTCCTTAGCATATCCAGCCTTTTGCTTACAACAAGAAGATTGTAAACTAAATTTTCTACTTCATTATTTTACTGCATATTTGCAATACATATTAACTTATTTATGACATTACATCAATATCTTAAATTTAGAACATATCTTTTTTGAGACCAACTAATTACCACATCGCCTAGAGGAACCATAACAATTAGTCATCACCTCACCATATTAGCAATGCTGACTTCCCATAAGTTGGAACTAGTTATTCAATTCCAATTTTAAAGTTCACAGGTGTCAGAGTTTATAAAATATGGTTAAAAAAGAAGCATTTCATTTAATTGTTACTATTTTTGCTCATGTTGCTCTTTGTATCTTATTGAGTGTTTGTTCATTTTATAGAATATCTAGATGAGAAGAAAATATTTACACATTGACTATTCAGCCAAAGTTGTGATTGTGGTCACTCAGATATCAAAATTCATTTGTGCTTAATGCTTTGTTTGCAACCATAAAATATGACTCTGATTTCCCCCTCACACAATTTTTAGGAACAAATTAAGTACATTCAGTGTAGCTACCATAACAAATGGAATGGACATATATCACTATCTTGCTTCCACATGTTTGTAAAGAATACTGATTTTTGACTTAGCATATAACATCATGTCTTCCAAAGCTTACTCTGTGAAGGAAACAAACACTAAAAGAAAATTCAAAAAATTGCAACAGATTTTCTTCCATTTTTGCAGTGCTTCAAGTTTTTATATCTGAACTTGTAGAAATACATGTAAAAGATAACTCAAATTAACATAAGAGCCTCAAAGGAGAAAGCCCAAGGCAAGAATAAATAACTAAATAAATACATAAAGTAAACAATACCTGTGGCGTGCCATCTAGAGGCAGAATGAGGATTGATTTGTTTGGATTTGGTAAGGCAAACTTCAGCATCCTGCCACTGTGACAAGCTTGTGTAGATATAAGCCAGATCATGCCATGTTTCCATTTCCAAAGCTCTATTGTGATCTACACTTCCCTGTAACAAAGAAGTTGACAAAATACCATTTTAAATCAACTAAGCTTTGGTAGAAAAATACATATAAAGTTATCCTTCATATTTCCACAAAAGAAAAAGAAATATATTGTATTGAGTTTCCAAGCTGTTTACCAAAAGAAAGAAAATTTGTAGTCATAATCCATTTTAAACATTCAGTATATATATATGACACACCTTCAAAATCTTCTTGGACACACTGAAGTTTCTCCTCTGAACTTCAAGAACAGCAAGAAGATGTGTATATGTTTTAATTGCATTTTTTAACTGACCCTGGACAATTTGGAGTTTTGCCTTTGTTCGTAATAACTCTCCCTGATCCCACCTTCCAGTCTGATCCAAAGCAGCATTAATGATAGTCTCAGCATCCACAAACCGTTTTTGAGCAGACAATATTCGAGCCAAGAGGATCCACCCTTTAATGTTAGATCCGGCTTCTAGTTTCAGCAATTGCTTTGCATAATAAAGTGCAACGTCCAACTTTCTCTGCTCAGCATTTTCTAGGCTGAGATAGAATATAACTTTAGGTTCTCTTTCTCTCATTTTTTTCTCAGCAGTTTCTAGGGCTCTGAGTGCATCAATTTGTCTCATGCTCCTTTCAGAATCAGATCTAACTAATCTGGCCTGAGCTGACAGCGAGATACCTAACAAGTAATTGGTGACACTTATCATTCGATTGCATCCTCCATGCAAGAGAGCAATTGCTTTACGAGCAAAAGCTTCCCCTTCTTCAGGCAGGTTTAGATCTTCTCCACTAATCTTTGAAGCCAGTAATAAAGCTCCAATGCAATTGGGATTCTCTCTGCCACTCAACAATTTCCTTAGTAGATTCAGAGCAACCACATTTTCACCTTCTGCATAGTAACACAACGCTAGGGTGTAATATCTTTCTTTCTTATCCAAAATCTCAGGAAGCAATTCTTCAACCTGATTGGCCAAGGTTCTTAGTTCCCCTGACACAGAGAGAGCAAATGATAGGTGGTCTATAATTGATGGGTCCCACTCAATCCTTCTGAGAGCAAATTTTTTTAGCAGAATGAGTAACAAAAGAATAGCCTCTTCTATATTGTTCTTTGGTACAAAGGAGCCTTCCATTTGGGAACGGAGGTTTGGGGGGCTTGCATCACAACCACCATAGAGAAGAAAAATGGCAAATTCTTTCTCTATTTTTGCTATGGTGTCTGGATCAAGGTTCCAATGATGAAGGAGGGCACGCCTATATGATAAGATTGCTTCATGGGGGAAGCCAGCAAGTTTCCATAACTCTGGAAGCAACTCGACAGTCTTGTTTAGAGTCTCCTGCAATTTAAAATCAGTACCAAAGTTTTCAGGCAAGCCTTCTGGTAAGGCAGATTCAACAGTGTCCAGAATAACTTTGCATGATTGAGCAGCTTCTGCAAAAACCGATTAGAAAAAAATTAGCAATGAAATGATTATTTAAACAACGCTTTTTTGTATAACTTGGAAGGCTTTCTTGTTTGAGAGAGTTATAAGTTAAAATAAGTCTCCCTAGCTTTCTTCTAATCAACATAAACGAATACATGCAAATCTTCTAAATAGCTTAAACATCCACTGTCTATAAATAAAAGTTCAATGGCCTTACAGTACAATTGAAGGTTTGTTAATTCATGAAAGAGAGCAATGCACTAAAAAGATAGCCAGCTGGTTTCAAAGATATGGGTGCTTATATACTCAAGACTTAAGATGCTCAGGTTGATGACTGCCCTACAAAATAATATAATTAAAAAGAAAACAAAAGGCAAAATAGATAGAAAGGTGCATTAGATCCCTCTATGGAATAAACAGAAATCACAAAATTTTTCCTTATTCAGACCAAGGGACCCATAACTGGAAAAAACATACAAATAAAATGAAAGTGCATAAGAAACAGAAAATAAAGACAAACAACCAATTGGCTTATTGAAGGCAGGTTTCAGCTTTATCAACAAGATTACCTTGAAACCTTCCAAGATCCTGCAGTGATCTTGCTTTGAGATAGATTGCTTCAAAGAGCAAACTGGCAGCATGCATAGACATCGGTGGGGCAACATCGCTGTGGGAACGACGCTTTCGGTGCTCTCCTCTTTGAGTAATGGAAAGTATGGAGAGTTTTATCTTTGGTGTCACAGAAGCAATATCTATTCCTTCAAATACATGAAGTGCAGCTTCAACATTTCCTCTTTGATATTCTAGTCTTCCTAGCAATGCTCTTGCTTCCTGCAATGTTGTAAAAGCCTATGAGATTTACAACCAGATTTATGAAGATAACTAGGAGGTTTAAGCAAACCAGTTGTTGATTTAATGATGCAAGAAAAGCAATCACATAACATTTAATAAAAATAAAATGAATATAAACTTTTAGAACTTTCTATTATGGCAAATAATGTCAAGGGAAATGATGGATGTTCCAAACATATAGCTTACTTTTTAAAGATGATCAATTCATCAGTATCTATAGTATCATCTTCCAGAAATAATGTGACAAACCATAGCTGGTAAAAGGTGAATTGGTGCACAAATTGGATTTTTCTATGTTTGAACAATGTTGCTGCAGGAAAGCAACCAACCATATAAAATCATCCATGTCCAGGGATTATTGGAAAAGTGAATTCACTCAAGAAACCTGCCTCTTGACATAGCAGAATGGGGAGACAAGATTTGTGTAACCGATCCCAAATCATTGTGGTTAAGGCTGAGATAAGTCAAGTAGAACAATTTGAGGCAATACCAAGCAACGGGCAATGTCCCATGTGAAAAAGGAGACAACATCTAAAGTTTTGCATGATACAACAACTTTCCTGTGTAAATACTCCAAGATGAAATTTTCTGCATAATTTACTAGTTAACTGATAAGTAGGCTCCTGTGTAAAGCTATAGAGTAGCAATAGCCCTAAAAAAAAGAAATTAGATAAACCAACCTCATAGTTCAGAAAACCACTTTCACGGAGAGATGATTCAGCTTCTTCTATGTTTCCAATATCTGGCTTCTTCTTTCCTCCACCTACTTTAGAAGAAGACTCGCCTGCTACCACAAAAAAGTCTTTTGTTCCCGGGGACTCAGATGAGAGAACCATTTCATCTGCTCCTAACTGCTCTCCGGAGCAAAGGCACTTCATTATCTTCCCCAACTTTGGTTTAGTACAAGTTCCTTGCCGTTGGATCCCCGTCTTCCGTTTCATACTGTTTCATTCACACGTTAAGGTCATCAGAACACCGTTGCGCACTAAAGAAATATGTCTGAAACCAGGTTACAACAGTCCGAGCATATAAGCTCACTAGGTGGTCGGTACTAGAAGATTGGCAAAATCTAGCATCCCCTACCAGAGAATTCATTGAACAAAAAAGGAAACATATAACCAGTTAAAGAAGTTTCCGTCCAAAATAAAGAAAATTAGTCATGGTTCATCAAAAACCAATTCGAATTCGAATGAAAATACAAGCAATAGAAAGAGGGAAAAAAAAAAGAAGAAAGAAAGAAACAGAAGAACAAACTTTACCGAGAAATAAAATCCACGACTCTATTTGTTAAAATTTTCTTTCTAATAAAAGCTCGAAGGTAAAACCCTAAATTTAAAATTAAAGACTTCAAATTACCTTTCGAAACGGGAAAAAGAGAAGCCCAACAACGTTTCTGCAATTACAGTTCAGAAAGAAAGCAAAATATCGAAACTAATCTTTCAAACCACTATAGACCACACCCATCACAACCAGAGAACCCAATGTAGCTTTCAAAAGGAAGGAAAAAAAAGAAAAAAAAAAAGAAAGAAGATAACGAAGAAGCAACCCAGAAACACCAAGTTCCCCCCAAACCGAAAATTCGGCACCCACGTCATAATTTCCTTGAAAATAGCTCAAAATAATGCGACTTTTAAAGCCTAAATTCAAGAAATATCCATTTCCATCATATAATCGTTTCAGAGCAACCGAAAGGAATCAAATTATTCTTAAAGGAAGTACCTTTTGTTCGAAAAAGAGTGAAGACTGAGCCCACACAACATCAAAGCAACCACCCATCCTTCCTCCAATTCCTGCAAAGGAAAAGTTTCTTTTGATTTCTTTGATTGAATAGCCAAGAATACAACGCCTTAAGAACTCTTCCACTTTTATGAATATTCTTTCTTTTTTTTTTTTAATTTTCTTTCTCCCCTTAACAGTCAACTGTTCAAAAATTTCAAGTCTCTGTATTTAATACGGGGGGACACGCAAAAAAGTCAGAATTTTCCTTTCAGAGGAGTGAAGGGGCGAGAGAGAGGCTTTGGGTAATGAATGATTTTTGAGGAAGAGAGTTTTTTTGAAGAAACGCACAGTGGGATTTGGGAAATGGGAAGGGAAACAATTTTCGTGGAACCCAGGTTTGAAATTTACTACGTGGCTGTGGTTAGTTTTCTGCCACGTGGCAAAGCTGACGAACTGATTTGGCTGTTTTTAAAACGGTAGTTTGTTACAAAAATGTACTTCAGCCGAGGGTCCGTAGTACTTAGACCTGGAAAAAAAAAAAGTCGACCCAATTCACAACCCGACCCGATCCAATGCGGATGGTTGAACCCATCGGTCAACCCTAATTCTATTTAGGGTTAAGACCTAGCTTTTGCCGATCCGGCCAAAAAATCTGATCCGATCTAAAATGATCTGAAATTGCATTGACCCGACCGATCCGAGCCCAACCGGCGTGGTCTAGTGGTCTACTTGACTACTTCTGCAACCATAAATATGAGAGGAAAATTCTAAGCGTACAAACCTTTTCTTCTCGTGCGCTATACGGTTGCACCTTTCCACAAGCCTAGAATATGGACTGTGCAAGGAAACAAAATATCCCAAACGTATGGTAGAAGCTGTGTTCGTAAGGCCCAGTAAGCCAGCCCAGGCCCTTCGGAATTATAACAAGCGTCTGACTTACAAACTTGTCTGTGTTCTTTGCAGAAGCGATGATGATGATGATGCTGGTTGATGCGAGAATGTTGGCCGAGTATTTAAAGGCATAATAACATGTAAGAGGATGAGATATTCTTCATGTGTGGATGCGATTTATGCGGATAGAGTTGTGGTGGGTAAAAAATCTCAACTCTGCTTAAACAGCCACAACCCCTTCATTCATTAAAATATGAGTCCAATTATAATGCGTTAATGGATTTGAGATATGATAAATCAATTATGTTAAAGATGTCATATGGCCTATTTATTGTTTTTTTTTTCATTCACATTTTATATGGTGCATTTACCATTAAAAATTAAATAAAATGTTATTACTAATTACCAATTTTCCTTTACTAATTATAATGTATGCATCATATATGTTAAGTTTGGATAGGGGTGTTTATTTGGTCAGTTAATTTGGAAATAGAAGTTAGGGGTGTTGATTTTTTCTTTTTAATTTTTTGATAATTATATCATTTTGTTATTCAATATTTATCTGGTAATTATATCTGATTTGAACTCCTAATTTCATTTAAATATTCAAATCAAGATTAATTTGTAACTTAAAAAACTATACTTTCATTTAAATTAAGAAAATCACAAAGATTAATATGGATTCTTTATCTTTTGGAGTGGATACTTTTCTTATAGATAACCATGTGTCTAAAGTTAGTACTCTTTCTAAGCTATTTTCACTATTTTGGGGGTGAATAGATACAAGCCTAACAATCCAAGCAACAAAGTTTTTATTTGAGTGGAAAATGACCACTTCTTAGATACTATTTCTTAAAAAAATATATATATATATATATATTGCCATGTGTCCAACAATTATTTTTTTATCATTGTAATATGGGTTTGATTGTCTTTTCACTGGTAGTGTGTTTGGTTTGGCCTCCTCATGCCTATCCATTTATTTTTCTTTAGGCTTAGTTTGGAAGGAATACAAATACAAGTATATTGTACAGCATAAATACATACAAAATAATATAAAATATAAAATTTTGCGCTCTACATATTTGTATTTGTAGTCCTTCCAAATGGAGCCTTATTCTCTTGTACATGCAAATGCATGTGTAACTCAACTAGCTTTTGTATAAGTGAATTACATGCCAACCTCTAAATGGAGCTAAATTTACAGGTGACACATTCCTAGAAGAGATTCAATTTGGCCACATCAAAAACTAGGTGACTCATCCATAATTGGGGAATTTTTAGTATTAGATTCAACATCTAAAACCCCATATAAGGGCATTCTTGATATTGCTCCTATTTTGTCAAAGATAAAAGCAGAATCATTCAATATGGGGGTGTTCAAGGATTAGAATAAAACTGAAGGAGATTTTAGTATTTGTAAAAACCCCAGAGGAGGTTTAAGGATTTTCCCTTAATTTTAATAACAGAAAACCTCTTGCTTGATCAGAGAAAAAGGCCATTACCCAATTTGGGTCCCACTATTCCAAAATCATGGAAGGGTGAGCAGGATATCTACTGTTGTTTCTTCTACTTCAAAGATGTTGGACTTGAGCAGTAAGTTTTGTTTATTGATTAATATACATAATAAAAAGGAATATAAATAGAAGGTAAACATGCTAATTTATGTTTATTAAAAAGATGGGACGCAGAAAGAAAAGCAGCATCGAAATCTCTGACACTGAGTTTGGTCATGAATAAGATAAAAGAAAGGAAAAGAAGATTCAAAAGAAAGTGGCTTTTCTTAGTTCGGTGGACAAGGTAGACAAAAGGAGAAAAAAATGTTGAGACCAAATAGGGAGGTAAAATTTTCTTTGACCTCTCATCTTGTTTCCCAAAAGGAAGATAAAGCTGAGGAAAAGTGGAGAGTGAGAGACAAACTGGTCCCATTTCTCTCTTTAATTTTATTTTCTTCTCTCATTTATTTCCTTTCACAAACAAACACAAATGCAACTTGAAAAGCAAAACCCAATTTGTTTCATATAACCTCAACGATTGCTTTTTAGAGTAATGCTAGTGTTATGGACATGGAGGTTTAAAAGTCATAAATAAAGAAATTACATAATTTCTTTTCTATTTAATTATGTTTTTGGTTCTGTTTGTTTGCAATGCAATTTTATTTACACTAGTACAAAATTTAAGGGACGGATGTACATTTTGGTTCACTATTGCTTTGAGCTTGATTGTACTTTGCTTCAGAATTTATTTTACTTGATTTGCACTGCAAACAAACAAAACAAAGAGAAATTTGAAACTGAAAACTCAATCAGAATTTGCAATAAATAATGGGTTGACATTGCTATGATCAGATTAAAAGGAAAAAGTAATTTGAGTTCAGAAATTAGAAAATTTTTATTAGTCAAAATCTCCTATTTTTACTGAGTGGAAGAATCTTATGGCCTGTCTAGACCATCCATCGTATGGTGGACCCTTTAGATCAGCCACCTACTACTCATTCCTGTAGTCCATATATCATTTCTTTAGGTGTGCATATGGATCATTGATATTGAGTTAGAGCATACATCAGCTTTAATCTTTGACCCAAAAAGAACATGTAATTCAGTCTTTGTCTACATTCATGAAGGAGACAAATTCGATCTTCATTGTGAAAAAAAAATGGAGAACAAACATAGTAAACTTTTTAAGAAACTTGACCCTGAATCAGTGAATCCTTGTACATCTACTTCCAATTATCTCACCCCAAAACCAATTTATACATGTCAAATCCTAAAATGCATGGTTATTGGCATATAATACACTATTTCCTTCCAAAATCTAGATATGATTTTAGCTTTCACATTTTCATAACATTATGGCTCAGTTTGCTAGAAATATAAATGCAAATTTGTAGAGTACGAATCTTTGTATTTTGTATATATTTACATACTACATATTTGTATTTGTATTCTTCTTAAATTGAACTGTATGGGTGCCCTATATGCACATCTCAGTATGCATTGAGAACATCTTCCAAAATTGTCAATGGGAGATATTTCCAATACATGATTGAAATGCATTTGTGGGGTGTACTCTGTGGGGTGTAAATGTGAATTCATGGTAAGAGATTGGAGCTGCTATGCAGGCCTTTCCTTAATATACCAATTAGTCTGCCCTATATATGGGTTAAAGCCAACAAACCATAATTAACTAATTGTTGATGGAACGGGGTACTCAACTCAAATGCCTAGAAAACCATAAGGGGGCGGGGGGAGCTGGTAAATTCTAGCCCCATGCAACTCCTTTTTTCCTTAACTCTTTTGTTGAAAAGGGTTATGCAGAAAATTAACTTTGTTTGGTTCGGCCCAGACCAAGTTTTATTTGACGAACTGGTGTAGTTATGAGATTCTTCCCACCACGGTTTTTGAACCATTATTGACCCGGATGGTTGGACCATTCAACCTAAAAACCGTTCAGGTAATGGTTCTGTTTCACCCTTAATCTGTTCCTTGGCCAAAAACTATTGACTTGATCTGTAACCTATTGAGCTGTGCAATCGAATCGTCAATCCATTCAACCTGAACAACAGTTTTGGGCTATTTTTATTTTCATTATTTTTTTATTTTTTAAATTGAAATGAGCCATCCATTTGAACCAAAAGATATTGAACTGTTGACCCAAAAACCAATGGCTAAAACAGTTTCGGTTCCAAATCGGTTTTTTAAATATTGCTCCCCACTATTAAGCCGATGACTCGGTAATTTTTTGGTCACTCGGCATCTCCCCATTTGAGGAGAAACAGGCTCAAAAACATTCTTCTGGGGAACATTTCCCCTGCATGATAACATACAAATAGAGAGAATGTTCCCCTCAAGTGTGATTACAATGTTATGTGGGTAAGAGATCCAAACTGGCTCAAAAACCCGCAAATTCTTTAGGCCGCATGTATACCCTACAACCACCACCACCACTACTAACCCACTAACATATTTGGGTTGATGCTTATATGAGCCAAGAAAACTATTTTTGATAATTTTTTCAAAGTAGCTTATATCAATACTTCTCATTTCTCAATGGATGCTGAAACCCTCCCAAACAGGGTCCAGTGTAGAATCCCACCCCTGTTGGCGCCAAAGATGTCATGTGAAGTGCTTGGCCCATCTGTATTTGATTTTTCAATTGGATCCGTAACTCAAGGGCAGACTACACCTCACACTGACCTCACAGCCCTATCCCACTGTGTATTGAGAACATTTCTTTATGAATAACAACACAAAAAAAGGGAGATGTTCTTGATGTATGTGCGGCTGGAAGGCATTGTGAGGTTGGTGTGATGACTGAGGAGTGTATGTGGGTTTCACAAACCTTATTGAGTCCGGATCTCCTACCCATGACGATTCTACCTACACCTATCCATAAGAGATTGCAGTCACACGTGAGAAACATCTCATGCTCTTACATACAATTATGCATAGGGAGATA